GCGGCCGGCCGCCCTACCGACTGACAGCCAGCACCAGCCACTCGCGGTGCCCCGCGCCGTCGCGTCGACCGCCGCCTGCCCAATCAGCGCCCCGCCCGAGCGCCGCGCTGGAAGGCGGGACTATGCTAATCATCTCGTCAGAGCGGCCCATCCCTGCCCCTCGGGTGTCCCGCCCACGCGGAGGAGTGACGATGCAATCAGCCAATCATAGCATGGAGAGGCGGGGTTATGCAGATACAGACCCGAAAGGGGCGGGCGGGTGAGAGGAAGGGGCGCGGCTGCGAGCGCTGAGTTTACAAACAGAGGCGGGTGGCTGGGGCGCGGCCGCTCCGCGGGCAGGTGGACCTGCGCCCGCGCCCGGAAACCCCCGGGGGCGGGCGGAGGCGAGCGGAGGCGGCAGTCGCCCTCCCGCATCTGCCCACTTCAGCTCACGCATCTTGCAGGGCTCCCCACCGCCTGTCCTCCCTGTCTCGCCTCTCTCCGCTCACCGAAACGCGGAACCAATTTACCCTCCCTGACCTTTCTCGCCCCTGTTAAGAACCTTTCGGGGATCCCACTGACCTGCAGTGGCTCCGTGGTTAAGCCCAGAAGCTCTGGCCTCAGACCCCGAGCTTGCATCCGCACCAGCCGTGTGGCCTTGAGCCAGTTAACCTCTCTGAGCCTGTGAGCGCCAAGATGTTTCTTTGCGAACCAGGTGTCTCCCTCCCTTATCCCGTCTGAGTCATGGGTCTGGTTTGGGGTGGGTGGAGTAGCACGGACTGGGCTGCTCAGGGGTGAGCAGGTGACCCTGTCCTGCTAATAAGGGTGGCCCTGGGACTTTTCCTGGGGGTCAGCTCAGGCCAGAAGGATGGGGGTCAAGTAACTCTCCCATCTGCTCGCAGACGCCCCACCCCAGAACTGGGCTAGGTGACAGAGAGATGTAAGTCTAGGGCTACCGATGGCATCTTGTCACCATGAGGGGAATGAAGCCAGCCTAGAGGAAAGCCTGGAGCCAGCCGCACCTTGGGCAAGTGTGTTCCTAGGCTTTTCAGTTACAGGAATTTTCCTTTCTGCTTAAGCCAGTGAGGAGGCACCAGTGAGTACTGACCGATCCCCCCATCACAGAGCACACTCTGGAGGTCCCGCTCACCGCCACCCAGCCCCGCTGGGCCTCTGCACTCCCTCCTCAGAACGCGTTTCCCCATTTCCAGCAGCGGGAGCTGACACACAGGTCGTCCCCAGCAGGACATGGTGCCTGAAGGGCCGGCTACAGACGCCGGTGCCCCTGTAAACAGCAGGGCATAGTGAGTGGAAGGGGCCTCTGTAGCAGGCGTGGGGCCCAGACTGCCTTGCTGGGACCAGAAAGCCAGTTGTCCCCCACACTGGGGCTGGCCCAGCTCACCGGTGGGCCGCCGTCAGCAGGCGCCTGAGACGTGCAGTGACTGAGAAGCAGCTCTCCAGCCTCTGCTGCAGAGAGGCACTGGGAGGGAGGCAGGGCCAGGCCTCAGAAACAAAGGCGTTGCCATGGTTACCCGCAAGGAAACCCACTCCGGCAGGAGAGGGAAGGGTGTGAAGAGCAGGCCCCCAAGCCAGGACAAGGATAAGGCTAGTTGCCACGGAGATGCTCACAGCTTCCCTGCTGGCCTGGCCCAAGTCCCACTCAGGGTCCCCAAAACCCACCGCCCTCCATGCTCCTCTCCCTGACAAGTCCCTGAGACTTCAACCCCAAATAAAAAACAGGAACCTGAGGGGCTCAACCTACCGGCCCACTCCTTGGTCATGAACTTGGGGGTGAGGTGGCATTGGAGAGCTGGGGCCAGACAGGAGGTTGGGGTCCAGAGAGCCTCCAGTCTGACGGTGGACCACCTGTTTACCCCATTAAACAGATTCAAGAAGCCGGGCTCCCAGCTGCTGCTTCCTCCTTCCTGGACCCCGAGCCAGATCAGGCAGGAACCTCCTTCATGTGGCGCCTTGAGACCAACTCAGGAGCATTTCCACGGCCTTCGCTCGATCGAGAGGCCAGTTCCAGAGGCAAAGCTCCCCAGGCATGGGATGGAAGACAGGAGCAGAAAAGGAGACAAAGCCATGCAGTAAGGACAATGACAGCTGACAGCATCCAGTACTGCGACTGCTCCGCCTCATCTGCTTTCACGTTTGCAGCAGCCGGCTGAGCAGAGACGTGTCCCCATTCCCAGTTTCCAGGCAAGCAGACTGAGCCCGAGGCAGGCGAAGCGCAGACGCCAGCCCACGGCGAGGAGGTGGCCCCCGCGTGGTGCCGTCCTGCCGCTCAGCAGCCGGCCATGCCTGGGAGCGTGTCAGAGAGGCCGAGACATGCCCACGCGTCCCAGACCACGACCTGCACCTGAGCAGGATGCCCACCCAGGTGTTCAGCGGCTGGGGCCTCAGAGGCTCGTGGGTCATGGGAGCGACCGACCGATGACCTGCCTCGTGTTCAGGGGTCGGCCTAGCGTCCCCTCCGTCCTGAGTACGTGGCCTGGCTCAGCTCCCAGATCGTCTCAGGATCCTGGGGGTCCATCCACGTGTGGCTCTCAGAGCAGGCTGGCCCCAAGGGCAAACGCCGCAGCCGTCTCTGTCGGTGGCCTGGCCTCAGGTGGGGACGATGGAGCCTCCACCCCAGCTCCTTCTGAATCAGAGTTAGTGGACATCATGGCCCATGAGCCTCCCAGGCGGCAGCTCTGTGGGTGCGAGGTGTGGTATTGTGGGGGTCAGAGGTCCCAGGCGCGTGGGAGTGGGCGCCCTGCCTTTGCCCCAAGGAGGCACAGTCACGTGTGTCACCCTCTTTCCTACCATGTCACCAAGAGGAGGCAGAGGCAACTGTCCCCCCCACCCGCATTCAGACGGGGCTCAGAGAGCAGAGCAGCCTGCCCGGGGCCGCAAGGCAGAGCGGGGCAGGAGCGCCGGCCCTGCCCGACCCCCTGCCCCCCAATACTCTCACCTCCCCGGCGGCTCTCTGGCCGGGGCTGACTTCTTATCTCCGGCTGCTGCGGCCAGAACTGCTCCGTGAGCTCCAACAGGGCTGGGCCTCCAAGAATGCGGGGGCCCCGGCATTGCTGACCCGGGGAGCCCCACCTGCGGCTCGCTCCTCTCCCCGCTGCCCCCGGCCTTTGGAGCGGACAGTCCCCACTCCCTGTGGAATGGGGGGACTCTTCTATCTGGATGCAGCTTGGACAGCCAGAGGGCAGCCGGCCACTGAGGCCCGGCCCCGGCCCTCACGTGGCCCAAGCTGTTCCCCCCCATGCGACTTTCCAGTTTCTTTGCAACGTGACTGCTCGGCGCCCTGTCGTCGGAGGAGAGTATTTTTAGTGTTGAACCCACCACGTGAAGAGAAACGAGTTATCAATAGCAGCGGCAAAGGGCTTTTTCTTCTTCTCTGCCATGGCTTCGGGACCGGAGCGATCTGCACCCGTTAAATTCTGCCAAAAGGAAAACACGTGTCCCTCTTATCGATTGTTTACCCCACGCTTCCCCGCACCACAG